GTGCATATTAAAATGCTATCCATGGTCTGTACTGAATTAAGAAAGAAACAGATCCACAGAGTTGAAGTATGTATGCATCTATAACTATTTGTTCGTATTATGCATTTCATTTTATGCATTTTTCAGAGTTAAACCAATAAAGGTGCCTTTCAAGGGCTCTAGGCATGCACAGCGTAATTAATGGCGCCATAAATACAGTGCGATGAGACCCCAGCAGCCCTGGGATTGCCTCTTGCAGCGGAACTTGGACAGCCCCACACCGTGCCAGAACTTCCCCATACCTTATTACCACCTTCGTTTGCTCATAACCCAGCAATAAGTGTTTCCCCATCCTGAGACCTGCCAAAAGGCATCTATAAAGAGCAATTCCCCTTTCTCCCTCAGCTGGGGGAGAAAGGGAGTGCATGGGGACCATGTTCCCCCTTCTGGGGTGGTCATAGGGAAAGCCTAGACAAGAGTTGCCCCTGCCTGGGGCAAATAAACATACGGACAAGCACCAGGCACCTGCCCCTGAGCGCTCCTGCTGCTGGGTCCGCAGCATCCGCAGCATGAAGGCACCAGGGGCCAGTCCTGGGGAGGGATCCAGCAGGGAAAGGATGGATTCCTGTGCCCAGGAGGTCCTGGTCCAAGCCAGCCATGCCCCTCGTGTGGGTGGCAGTATCTTTGTGTTCGGGCTGGTTCCTTAAAATATGGCAAGGATCTGCTGGCTAGTAAAATAAAAAGGAAGCCAAAATGTCACTAGTCTCCTTGAAGATTGAGACCTGCAGTAACCACAGTGCATGGTGTGCTGGTGAGCTGCCATCTTTTGGCAGGGCAGATGGGAGCTGTGCTAAAGGAGAAGGTGAGATTGAAGGGGAGCTAGTCTCAAGAGAGAAGCAAAAAAGAAAACAAAATGAAGGGAAAAAAAACTCCTTTAAAACTTTTCTATTTGCTTTTCAGCCCTGCTCCCTGTGCTGGCAGAGGGCCCCTGCAGAGGTGAAGTCCGGCTGGGTGGCTGTGCCTGTGGGGCGCGGGGCTGGGGTAGAGGTTTGGAGCTGCTGTGGCATCTGGCATGAAAAAATGTCCCGGGAAGCTGTTACATTAAATGGCCAAATCGATTTATTGAATGGCAGGTGTTAGCTACAAACAGATGGAGAACATAAAGGCATAAGCAGGCATTTGTATGGAAAAGAAGCCATCGATTTGTAGCGCGGGGCTCAGTAGTGATCGTTACATCCTTTAATAGAAATGTTCTTATTTTTATGGGCGCAGCTCGGAGCAACGAAAGGGCGCGCGGGCACCGCGGCCGCCAGCCACGGGGGCTCTGCTCCTGGCGCCGGCCCGGGACGCGAGGAGCCGAACCGGGCCGGGCGGAGCCGAGCGCGCCGGGCCGG